CTTAACAGACACCTCCAGAAGGGCTCCTCAAGGCAGTATCAAAGCCTCTGGCTCTCTCTGGAGATCAAAGCTGATGGCACCATTGCCACCTGTCAAAATCAGCTCCTGGAGGAATGGGTGGAATTCGTCTCAGCACTGACAATGCTGTGATGACAAAGGCAGCTGACTTGCAGCAGGGCTGCAAGAGACAATGGCAGGAACACAATTCAATGTCAGTAAAGTGGTGGTGTGTCTTAATGTCCCCTATTTGAATGATTTGCCACTACAGGTTGTGTTTCAAGTCAGTCCATCCTTGATGGCAACACTTGCAAATCTACCAAACAGGCTGTTGCCCACTCTGCATCACATTTCACATCACAGAAATAACATCACTCTGCTTTTATTTACCCTCTTGCAATACTACATCTCACATTGCTACATGCTCTGCTGCAGGCCCACGAGACACAGGGGAGGTTGGGATTGCAGGAAGATGCTGGGTTCCAGAACCAGAAAACCCAAATTCCTGTGCAGTCACAAGGACTGTGACTCCATCCCCTGGGCCTGGGGCAGGGAGCAGATGGGGGTGAGGGGAGAAACCCTGCAGGGCAGACACAGCACACCCCAGCAAGGGCCACAGGCACACAGGTGACCCAGTCATCTTGAACAGAGGCACCTGGAGGGGTTGCAAGTGAGCTGCTGCCATCACCCTGCATGTCACCCACACCCCCGGGAGAGGGGACACCACTGCTGCCAGCACAGCTCAGCTGGCACAGGGAGGCTTGGAGCAGCTCCTGCCAACCTGATTTCCTGCCCACAGCTGGGGTAGCTGCTGAGGGACAGCATTTCAGAGACCTTTATGCTATTTGCAGCTTGGCCCTAACTCAAGAGGACTACAGGAATATTGTTAGTCCTCTGCCTTAGATCCTGGGCTAAGGAATGGACTCTGGGTAGATAGCAAATTTAATTTCTACCCAATCCAAAACATTCCCTCATTGAGGTATTTAGGTTTCATACTCATCCTTGCTTCTCCCCGTCCCCAAAACCCATGTCTGTACTGAGTAATATCCAAAACAGATAGGAAGGATCCCTGTATCTTATTGTGGTAATATCTCCTTGCCTCTAACTCCAGTCAAAGAAGAAAAGACATTTTTTAAACATGACATCTGCATGTCATTCTCCATTAGAAGTGGAGGTGCTGAGGAAGATAAGCATGGGAATTGTGTTGTTATAATTGAGCCCTGAAGACAAATGTCAGGAATGAGGACTAATTAGAAGTGGAAAAGACTTACAATGTTACTGTACAAAGGAAATGCACTCCCACCAGACCTCGTTTACAGCACCACACTGGCCATAATGCAGTTTGTAGCGGGTCCAATTTTCTTCTTTCTCCAGGCAAACATTTTCTTCAGCTCTCCCCTGAAGCTGTCATGGAGCCAGGCATAGAGGAAGGCGTTGGTGCAAGCAGACATCATTGCAAACCAGTGGCACAGCAGCTGGATAAAGTTGAAATACTGCTTGTCAATCAGGCTGATGTCTATGTCCTTTATCACGTTGAAGATGTGCAGAGGCAGCCAACAGACTCCAAAGGCTGCCACCACTAAGACCAGCAGGCGAAAAGTCTTCCTCCTCCGTGCACGGTCCCACTCGGCCTGGCCCTGGGTGACATTACCTGGCACCACACGGTTCTTCAGCTTGACTGAGATCCTCAGGTAGGACAGGGAGATGACAGCCAAAGGCAACACGTAGGTGATGATGAGGGTGCTGTAGGCATAAGCCAAGCGATCCCTTTTCATGTGGAACCAAAACTCCTCGCAGATGGAGAAGTCCAGCTCCGGGAACTCCGCGTGGTAAGTGTGGACTAAGGCTGGGGCAGCCAGGGTGCAGCTCAGCAGCCAAATAGCAGCCAGGATGTAAGCACAGACAGGGATGGTGAGCCTCCTGCGGAAGGGGTACACCATGGCACAGTACCTGTCCACAGCTATGACAGTCAGGGTGAACACAGACACGAACACCGTGACGGGCTGCATCAGGAAAACAAAGTAGCACATGAACCGCCCGTACACCCACCCCCGGGGCTCGAAGGCATAGGCGAGCGTCAGGGGCACACAGGTTGCACACATGAGCATGTCTGAGAAAGCCAGATTGCCTACGAGAAAGTTGGTGACATTGTGCATTTTTTTTGTCTTGCAGATAACATAAATGAGCAGGTAATTCCCAATGACACCGATGAAAACCACCAGGGAGTAGCAGGGGATGATTAGTGGCTTGAAGGACTGAACAAACTGGAGACCTGAGAATAAATTGCTGGCGTTGCTGTGAATTGCAGAGAGGAAGCTTTGGGAAGTTAAATTGTCCGAATTCATCATTTTCCTCCTTTTGTTGTCTGCCTTCAGCCGAGTGAAGTAGTTACCGCTGCACTACTCCCTCACTCAATCAGTGGGGATAATGAATGGATTACTGGCTGTCCAGAGGTTACCACATGGATAGTAAACAAGCATCCGTAAAAGCAAAAGGTGAAGTTGTAATCCTCGAGAAGCAGCTTCCAGCAATTCCTAGGAAAAATCAAATACAACCAATTTCCATTAAATTCCTCCTGTATTTACTATTAAATCCAGGTTTTGACAGCATGCCACTTAACAAACATTTAATGCACGAGTACTTACTGCTGTGGGTTTTTAATCCCATACGATTTTCCTGGGGATGCCAAGAAGTGCCCTAGATGTCTGTCTTCTGCAAATCCAGGAGCGTGGATGTTTCTGTGTGTCAGAGAGAGAGAGAGAGAGAATATATGAGGGAGAAAGAGGGTGATGCGCATTTACAAGCTAAGTGCAGATCAGTGTTTTTAAACAGTCTTACTCCCAGGTCAGGACAGATTTGTGTACCAGCTTTTCTCCCTATTGGCTGTCCTGGGTATTGCGTTGCTCTTTGCGTGCTTCTTGCTGATAGTAATTAGTTCTAGAACATCCTTTCAAAAATTCCCTTCTCCTTCCAGTGCATCTATAATTGCCCCTCACAGCTAAAAATCAATTTACATTCATTAACATGAGCCTGCACAGCATCTAATCCCAGATTCACTTTGCCACAGCCCCCAGAGTGTCCAAAAAAGCTACCTGTGAATTTGCTGCTATAATGTGACTGCGAAAGAGAATTTTAATAATATGCTGAAGGCAAATAAATGTTTATGCCACTAGAGGGTCTCAGCTATGTACCTGGTGAATGAAGTTAGGCTTAGAAATGTGCATTTAGCATGCAGCTCAAAGGAACTTATTTTATTTGCATTTGTTTTCCAGTCATGGTACAATGTTTGGTCACCCACTGTGACTATTTTCTGTAGGATTTGCACATCTTTAAACACATGTGAGCATCTGAAAGGAAATACTGGTATCCAAAAAGATTAGCTGTAAAGGTTTACCTACCCTGAACTAAAGCATACTGTTTCTAATATTCCAGCTACCCAATAGTATTTGGGGTGTTTCTTTATTCCTGCAGTAGATTTGTTAACCTTTTCTGTACCAGACCACAAGTACTAACCGGTCTGTAAATCCATCTGTACTTGTTTTGCTCGGTTCAGACATTAGAAAGCAAAAAATCACCCCATCCAGCTCTTGCCTATTGCTCTAATTCTCCCTTAACTCCTCTCCACCTCAGTCTGGCACCAATACCTCAGCTGTCCATAAAAACAGTGAAAATCCACTACATCCATCTGTACCAGCTAGGGAAACTAAAAAATAAACGGAGCAGCCTAACTTCAGAATACTTCAGAGCAGATAACATTGCTAGGTTTTGCAAGACACAATTTTAAATGACAGTTTATGTCCTAATCTGTTAGACTAAGGAAATATTGAGCCACTATTTTCTATGAGACTCTGGGCAGAACCGTATCCTTCTTTTGATTTGATGTAATTTGACATAAATCAGACTTTAACATAGATTTAATTTCTGTCTTATTCCTTTCCCTAATCCTAAAACAGAAGCAATCTTGTGCAGCCCTTGTTCAGACTGGAGCCATTCTGCCTGTGATGGATGGGCATTTTGAACTTGGTAAGTACTGACTCTGTGCTGCTCCATCCAGGGTTGGTTTATGCTCTGGACTGGAATATTGCTGTAATTCCAGCCTGAGGGGAGAACAGGCATGTAGCCACATTGCTCAGGAGTGTCATCCTTCATTTCACGCCTGTAGTAACCTACCCATGACCCAGACTAAAAATGGGATGTTAGAGCCCACTTCAGAGTCCAACCTCTCCTACCTGAGCTGGATGGGACCCAAGGGAATATGGTACCTATTTATCTCTACATACCCAAACCCAGAACAGGAGAGAGAGGAGTGGTGAGGCTGCAAAGAGGCAAGGAAAAAGGGGATTCCTGCTGCTGTCACCACCCAGTGCAACCATGGCACTTGGTGATAAGCACCATGATGCAGAAGTAATTCCCCAAACCCATAAATGCAATTGTTTCACTTAATGTGAGAGAAAAGCATGGCCTGATTTAAAGTAGGATTGCAGTAGACTTTGGACATGGTCTCTAGTACAAGCCAAAAGACATAGAAAAATGAAAGGAGGGCATATGCAAATGGTCCTCATGCTGCCACATCCTGCTGGAATTGCAAGGCTCGTGCCAGGAAAGAAGCCTCACGATGATATCCCTGCATATGTAGTAATTAAAAATTTCATTTTTAACTAAGTGATTTTTCTGCATCATTCCCAAGAGCTGCAGAGTAGACTCAATAAATATCCTCATTGTATTCCAATGAAAAAAAAGGTTTATGCTTTGCCATGTGAGAATAAAAATGAAACACAGAATCATCTAAAGAAGCCTTCAAGGTCACCTTAATGCTCAGGTCACAAAAAAACCTGTAACTAACCTTAGAGGTCCTTTTATTTCAAGCTGTATGGGTAAATCTTCCTGCATTTTCTCTTACCTTTAAATGCCCTTTTTTCACCTCTGAAATGAGTAATGAGTACACCTTCTGTTTGAAGGCTCCCACCTATTTCTGTCAGTGATTTTCTGCTTGTTTTGGCTTCAGGCAGAAAATGTCTTCGATTCAGCTGTCTTCTACAGCTAAGATCTGGAAAGATAATATTTAATAGAGGCTTGAATAGAAAAAGCAGCCCAGCAATTTAGCCCACAGAAATCCTCTTTCCTCCAAATACGAATCTTGTTTCGAATTTCCTGGGCTGTGTGACAGAGTCCCTCTTGAACTGCCTGTAAGTCCATTTCACACAGAGAATTTTCTCAGTAAAAGAGAAAAGGTCACAGGAACTGCGTTCCTGTCACGTTAGAACTGTTTTGCCATTCCAGGTGTTTAAGGGTGCCACATGTAGGAATGATGATTAGTGTTCAGTGAAACCCTGGTCTTCCCTCAGTCAGTGGAGAATGTTATACCCAGAGCCAGACCAACACCCCACAGAAATGTTTCACAGCTGAGCTTTTATAATCTCTTGTGCTCCTGTCCAACTCTGCACAGCACAAGCATTGTAAGATGCTTTTAGGCTTTACAGACCAGAACATTTTCTTGTCTCATTAGTCTCACAGTTCCAGGTGTCAGTTTTCTATGTTCCTGTTTATTTGCCTTTTCTTTTTTTGCATAAAGAGGACTTCTTTTGCATCACAGAGCTCCTTTAAAAATTCTTTCACATCATTCCACAAATGTTCTGTGCAGAAAAGATCAGGTAGTTCTTGTAGAGCCTACAATAAAAATAGATACTTCGCCTATTTTGAATGATGCAGATATGAGGGTTCCTTTAGCAAATTATTCTTTTGACCAGCCAGGGGACAGGATTTTATTTCCCACAATAATTTCATGTCAGGTCAGCCTGTCCCCCCCTCAATCATATAAATGCATCCTGCTTGCCCCTGCTGTGGACTGGAACACCACAGTTTCTAAACTCTAAGAACCATGTTTACAAACAAGGGTTTGGGGTTTTTTGGTTGGCTAGGAGTTTTTTGGTTGTTGTTGCTGCTTTTCTCAAATTCAAGGTACCAAACTTTGATAAACACAGGATTCAGTTTAAAATAATTCACTTTAGCTGAAGAGGAGCTTAACAACTTGAAGGAAGGGGATGTTTGAATTTAAGTCAAAACTTGCTTAAAGTTGCGCACTAAATATAGAAGAGGGGCTCTACTCTACATATGCACAGAATTCTTTGCCTTCTGGGGAAAGTGACACGAGAAAAGTGAGTTGGTTCCTCAGATGACAAAGATCATGTGCTGGAATAAAGATAAAAGCATAAAAACTGGGGGAAATTACAAGTGATTCCCTGGAAATGAAAGTGCCAGGTCACAATTAAACAGTGAAACTTTGGAAACCTGAGGGAGAAGGGGAGGAAAAACTTGTCATAAAAGACAGGATCAAGGTCACCTAATAATACGAATTTTTACTGTGGCTTAAATTTTGTTGCAGGTCTATACAATGAAGCAGGCAGTGCATTTGAGAGTGGAAGAAAAGAAAATCTACCACTTTGTGAGAGATTCCAGGGTGAATTTGCCTCCACTTTGTTACAGCCTCTGGACAATTTTCTTGCTCTAAGTGTCTATTCACCAGAGCAGAATTGCACTATATTCTTTAAAAACACTAGGGAGGATGGTAAACTCCAGGGCAGGCAAAGATGTATTTAAGCAAAGGAACAACATTAATGAAAGACCAAATTCACAATGGGCAAATTTAGCACGGAAAGTAGAACACTTCTAAGTGGGAGGGCAACAAATTGCCCCTTGGAAGTGCTTGCTTTTGGAACAATCACTGTATTAGGGGGGATAAAGCACCTGCTTTTTGACAGAAATCTTGATCCATTTATCACGTGCGTGTGGCCTGATTTCTTGCTCGGGGCTTGAGCTTCAGGAGGCTCCTTTCTATCCTTCATCAACACAGACTTTGGACTGCACTCACCCCTACTTGAAAATAACTCCACTATCATATTTTTTGACAGTATTCCCATTGATAATGTTCAAAAGACAGAATTAAGATGTATATACCTGCAGACCCACACAGGTGGGTACAGCTCAGACTAAATCCTAAGACATTTTTAGTATTCTTTGTTGTTCTTTGACAGGAAGATTTTTGCACTAGTGCCTGTGAAGATCAACTAGAACAGCACTTGAATATTTGCTTGATGAACTTTGCCTGTTGCTGATCTTGGCACCTGCTGAGAGCAGCTGATTTACAAAGCAGGGAGAAAGGCAGGGCCAGCACAGTCACTCTGGAAAAACAGTTCAGCCACAAGGCACTTCAGTCAGTACCATCACTGATTCTTTTTTCTCTGACCTGCCTTCCTAAAAAAATGCTGCCTGGAGACTTGGTACAGCCAGGCTTGATTCTCCCATGTCACCACACCTTAAGATTTTCTTTGCCAGGTAAATCCACGCAGGAATTAATGACCAAGAAAGAAGATGATCTGATTTTTTTATGTTAGGTTTTGGTGTGCAGTTTTGAGGGTTTTTTTGCTTTTTGTGTGTGTCTGTATGTGCTGTTGTTTGAGGAGTTTTGTTGCTGGTTTTTTGGTTTTGTTTTTGGTTTTTTTTTAATCTCTAGGCACAGGATAGATAGGTTAAATGCTATGATTACTCAAGAGGTATTTGTGTTGATTATGTTGCTTGAGAATGCTGAAGGAGTATTGTGCTGAAGAACAGAGTCTGGCTAACAAGTCTGACCATCTCTGAGTTGTCTGGACAGACATCAATGGAATTTCAGATTTTTATTACAAATCCTTCTGTAAACACACCTCTGAAATGGATCCTTGTCATGTTACAGTAAGAGAAACTTGCTGTCTTTAGAGTTCCCATAGACAGGATGTATAACACAAGGAAAACAATCAATCAAA